TACGGCGCTGGCAGCCTTGCCACCCCTCGGGAGCAACAGCCCATCCGATCTACCCCCTGACGGAGCTTACAGCAGAGAATGCCACGGCTCTGATTAAACTTAAATAAATTTAATAAACATAAATTATTTGCAGTAGCAGCAGCAGCAGCCGCAGTTTCTGCCACCCTCTTTTGACTGGCAAGTAAATGGCGTCGCTCACCTGCCCCGCCCACACTCAACAACATCTTTGTCCTTTCTGTCTGCTAAAAGCCGGCACAAAAGGCGCCAGATGTTGCCAAGGTGTAGCAGCGCCAGCCTCATCAGGGCGCCAGTCAGGCTCTAAGCAGCGCTTCTCTGAAAGTTTAATTAGTATTTGCATATCCTGATATACACACATACACACATACACACTTACACAAATATAAAGTCATATATTTAGTCTCTGGAGAGACCATTTTGTGTCGTATTCAACGAAAAAACACAGCAATTTGTGCTAAATGCCTAAGAGATCGTCTCAAGACTCGTCGAAACAATGAACCATGCCATGGCAGCACAATGGGCTAGCCAACTTGGAACCGGGGAATATTGTTGAGGAATCAAAATCAAAATTTGGAAGGCGCATTGTTAATTTTATATATAAATGTGTGTGTGCGTGTGTGTGTGTAATTCTTGTTAAATGCCTGCTGTTTGTTTATATATCTGTCGACATTCCATCCGGGAAGTTCGTTTTCAAAATGCATAACAAATATAAACAAATCAGCATAAAACATGCGAAGCCCGACACAAATACATGCTTTAGCTGGAAAGTAGATGGAACAGCTCTCTAGTCTACGTAAATTCTGATGTGACTATGAAGAGAACATTTCGAGACTTGTATAGTCAAGTAGAAAGTAGTATAGACTGATATCAGTGCTACCACGATTCCAGCTAATAGATCTATTAGTTATATATAACAGATACTCTTTGGTTCCCCTGAAAGCCAGCAGCAGTCTGAAATGCACAGGGTGCTGAAATTGTTGTCTAATGAAAACAAATATGGGAACTGCCATAAATATGGCTCATGCAAAGACAACAAACAAATTGATAGAATTCTTCACCGACTGTCGGAAATTCCGCCGCAAAACCGCAAAGTCAAGGAATTTATGGAAAATGTGTCTCTAAATATGGAAGCCATTCGACTTAATTGCGAAAAAAATATATAAAATATATGCGAATCAAACATGAACACTAAACAACCGCAGCAAGCATTGAATGGGGCGATCGACTGCACAATACTCAGTTCAAATCTCTAGCTTCTTCTCTTCTCTTACATTCGATTTGCCACGCCCCTTGTGGGCAAGTGAAGCCTACAAGCACAGCAATTCGGTTGCTCTACATTCGTGTCAAGTGACGTGCGGCACAAAAGCCAATATACTCGCTTTAGTTGCGCGAATGAGCATGAAAGCAGAAATGTCAACAGCAGAAACGAACAGAAACACAAAGCACAATGTTTCAAACGTTCTTGTCAAACGATATGTAAATATGTTTATTATTTATCGAAACAATAAGCAAACCACAGAAAATAGAAACAAAATGTTTGTTTATACTTAAACAATTTCGTGTCGCTTGATAAACAAAAAAATGCTTTCGTTGATGTCGCCGTCCCCACGGACAGCACTGCACACACACACACACGAATACACTAGCACAGATATAGGCACACATGATAAATACATATGCACACTGAGTATACTGAGTGTACACTGTACACTGCTTTATGAATAGACACACACACATGCATATTTATAAATCTAACACATTCAAATAAGCGTCTATTGCGCTCAGTTCGCCCGCCTTTCAGTCTACTTACCTCTCTCTCTATATAGTTTATATATCTACATACATATATAAATATACACATGAATGTATGTATGTATGCATGTGTGAGTGTGTGTGTGCTCATGTGCATGTGCGTGTGTGCTTGAATCTTTATTGTACGCGTTGAATTGTTTTTATGATTTTAATGTCATCATAAGTTTCAGACAGCTTTTTTTATGTGGCTGAAGCTTATTAATAAGCGCCTCTGTTTATTGAACAATTACCTTTATTATTATGAATATTTTTAATTGTTAATTGTTAATGTCATTGTTATAGACCGACCCAGTAAAATGAGGCAAGACAGCTGTGTCTTGGGACGCCTTTCCATTATGGAATCTTATCACCTATTAACGCTGTCCTTCTTTGTCTTTGATGATTCCATCTCAGTCTCAATCGCTCTTTCTTTCTTCTCATCTTGCCTACATTAGCTCAGTTATTGGCAGCATTCCGATGACAATTCACAGATTCGCAATTTGCGAATCGTCGAATCGTTAATCAATATCAGCGTCGAATTGTGGTAGGTCCATTAATTTTCAATTGTAAAATGAAAATTGATTTTTCACTGAATTGTGCAATGAACCGGTTCAGTTGGATTAGCTGTGCAAAGCGTCAACTGGTTTTCCAGTTACCGCTAATTGAATACACTGTAAATTCATTGACTTTTATCTGTGCATCTGAGCCGTAAGTCATTCGAAGCCGCGGATGAAATAAAATCAATTAAATCAAAACGAGTTTCAATTAAACTAAACTGTGAGAGAGACAAACCCGCAGAATGCATATTTCAATAACTCTAATCTGGAAATTGCAAGTTTTTGCCAACTAGTGCTAACTATTTTAAAACATGATCAGCAAAGTATTAAATCAATTATGGGAATATTTTTTAATCGATTTTATATACATATATACAAATATGTTTAAAATATATATTTAGGGCCAAGTAAAAATATTTATTAAAATGAATAATTAATATCACAGTATTATGGTAATATTTAGTATCGGGCTTATATATAAAATATGATTCTTTAAAACGATATTCAATATATGGGAAACGGTAAAATTTCTCAGAAAGTGAATTTTATTAATATTTGCTAAAATAGAAAGTTATTACAACTAATAAAACAATTGTGGGAATATTTATAATCGATTTTAACTATCAAATACTTGTAAAACGATATTTAAAATTAATAAGACTGAACTAAATATTTACAAAATTACTGACTTGAATACCACAATAATAAATCCACAAATATTATTATGCAATTTGTACCGATAGCTCAGTTACGCGAAGATTGTGATCGTTTTGCTTTACGAGTCAAAGTGCATTGAGTGCAAACTGCGGGGCAGACGAGTCGAGTCGCCCATTGACAGCCATTATAAAAATGTACCGTAAGCTTCAATGAAAAATCAATATGTCTTACACATTTGAAGAGATAGATTTCTGGTCCTGCGCTCTCTATCGATGCGGCTGCCATTCGACTCGATGCAAACTCCGCTCTCTCTCTCTCTTTCTCTCTCTCAAATACCGGTTTCGCTTGGCTCGCTCAGCTGTGCGCCGACTCACCACCGAGCTGCGGCGCCGAAGTCGACGTCTCTCTGCCAACAACAACAACAACTGCCGTTGCCATGACGACGCTCCCGCATTCTTCATGTTTCTCTCTGTCTGTTTGTGTGTGTGTGTGCGTGTGTCTACCTGTCCTACACAGACAATGCGGCGGCCATATTGGATTCCAGCACTCCTTTGCGCACTGGTGCCATCCCGCTCGCACCTGCGCGCCACCACTGCGAGCGTCGTAAATCTCTTTTAGGGGCGCGTGTGTCCTGGGAGTCGTGATTTATGGGACGAATTGTAGCTGCTCACTGTAGCGTGTAAATAATTTAGATTAGTTTACCATTTGCGAGCTCTGTCTGCCGCTAGCCGGGGGTTGATTAGAGCTCAAGTTGTTTAGAGGGGGAGGGGGACTGAGTTTGTGCTGCTGTCATTGAAGCTTGAATGTTTTATGCCCATTTTGATTCCTCAGAATTCCACGTGCAATTAAAGCAATTGAATTGACAAAACACCGCAAGAATTCACAAAAATACTTCTTAACTGCTTAAGTTGGCTATAATATCTGATGTTTTGCATTCGGATTTGGGACTGGGCTTAATTGCGTCGTTCCTTATGCAGCTGTAGTTATTAAAAAACTATCCTTAGAATAGCTAAAAAATGTTTGAGTTATGATTTATGGCCTACAACTACAGCGGAACTCTGCACAAATGCACCTTTCAAAATATTACGCAAAATCTGTCCCTAGCATTGTTGCCGGCACTTCTCAACTTGCCCAACCATAAAAAATATGCCGCTGACGTAAAAACCTTTTATAAAAAAGAAACGAAAACAACAGATCGAAAGGTGCTGTCGTAAAACAGCAAGCGGGAAAAGTGATGCCTGAGCATGCAATTTGCAGATAGCTAAATTTTTGATTTGCGAAACATAAACACGAAACGCATTCCCATTTCTGCTTTTCTATTGCATCTCCCTTTGCTGCATCATCCACGCACTATCGCGTAAAAAATTCGCACAGGTAGCGTGCAGCACAACACAAAAAAAAAGTCATATACAGAGCAACAAAGAAAATCGAGACAGAAATGCATGGAAAACGTTTCGCTCAACCCAGCAGGAGTCGGTGCTACAAAAGCTGCTTCTGGTTCTGCTGCCGCTTCACCCTTTACATGCCGTGCAATCGCCATTGGAATCGGAATCAGAGAATCCGAATCAGAACCAGAACCCGGCTAGCCGTCAGCCAACCCCCAAGGGAGCTGATGTCCTGCCGCGATTCGCAGTGGACTGACGTCAGAGCTGGCCTGGATAGCAGAAATTATTTATTTTGTTTGTGCTCGTCATTTACAGCAGAGATATTCGCTGTGCACTCACATTTCCGTCCGCATTGCCGCATGGCCATGCCCCCTGCTCTCGCGCCCACCACCCTTTCGCGACTTCTTGGCGCGAAGCGAGCAATATCCAAATCAGCAGAAAAATCTGTTGTTCCCCGCATCGCCAGCCCCACAGAGCCACGCCTCGCTCACACGTGTCTCACTGTTTTGGCGTATTCGAGTAGCACAACATTTGACAATCGTGACTAACGCGACTTTCTTTGTTCTTTGTTCTTTTGTTCTGATTGGAACAGGCCCCAACGGTTGCCCCCGACGCCGAGGCCGCCAGACTTACACACGCTTCCAGACGCTGGAGCTGGAGAAAGAGTTCCACTTCAACCACTACTTGACGCGGCGACGACGCATTGAGATCGCGCACGCGCTTTGCCTGACCGAGCGCCAGATCAAGATCTGGTTTCAGAATCGGCGCATGAAATTGAAGAAGGAGCTGCGCGCTGTCAAAGAGATTAACGAACAGGTAAGTTGACCGGAGCAAGTCGACTTGATCGATCATCGCGATATTGGCTCCTATTAAATTGATATAGTATATCCTTTAATGCGCCTCATCGTCATCTCCACATTGCAGGCACGCCGTGATCGCGAGGAGCAGGAGAAAATGAAGGCTCAGGAAACTATGAAATCCGCCCAGCAGAACAAGCAAGTGCAGCAGCAACAGCAACAGCAGCAGCAACAGCAGCAGCAGCAGCAACAGCAGCACCAGCAGCAGCAGCAACAGCAGCAGGATCATCACTCGATCATTTCACACAATCCGGGGCACTTGCACCACTCCGTTGTCGGTCAGAACGATCTCAAACTTGGCTTGGGCATGGGCGTCGGAGTCGGTGTTGGCGTTGGGTCTGGCCTCGGGCCGGGACTGGGAGCCGGCCTTGGCGGAAATCTGGGAATGATGAGCGCCCTTGACAAGAGCAATCACGATCTTCTCAAGGCGGTCAGTAAGGTCAACTCCTAAACGGCAACTGGAGCACCCTTCAACTATCATTACCGCTACCGTCATTACCACCCCTAACAACCTATGTCATCGCCATCGCCATCGTCGCCATCGTCGCCATCGTCGTCGTCGCTTGATGCCTTGAGTTTGGCGTTTTTCGTCTCTTCTGTGTAATGCGAAAAGCAAAGCAAAACAAAGTTGATAACTCAAATACGTAAAGTTTTACATAGTAAATAGTCGTCTAAGTCTACATATAGCGCATAGAAGTATATAATCTTAAAGCCAAGTACATATGTAAATCTATACAGAACACACGCATGATCAATGATGTGCACAGTGGGTCGCAGACGATTTGCTGCAGGAGTTTGGTCCATGCAGCTACGAAGGCTTTCCCCATTTTATATATTATACAAATTTCCATTCACACAGTTTCCCTAATTCGTAGACGTTTACCTAGTGATAGAGTATATAGGCTTTATGCAATGTCCGTCTGGTCTGACTGGTATCCCAATCAGTCCATTGCAGATTATACAGAGATATCCGATTGATTTCCTACCACCCCTGCTCCACTGTGCACATCATCTTCATATTAATGAACCCATTGATCTATAGTAAAGTAACAGTGAAATGATTAGGTAACGCTGACGAGGGCAGAAGCGCTGAATCGTACAGGCTCACAGGAGCGCAAGCAATGAGCGATATTTATAGTCAAAGGATCAGACAGTCGTTGGCATCGGCCCACTGGAGGGAGTTTAGCGAGCGAGTTTAACTGTAAAATTATTTACGACTGCTGTAGGATTACATAGTATGGTAAAGAAACGTTTAGCCATGTTTACAAATACATGTATGAATTTACAGATATATTTATATTATAGTAGCCCGTCGTACTTACGGGCGTTTATAGATACGTACGTACATTTTTGTACTCACATAATATTTATTGGAAATTGTGTTTGTTTTTTTTTTCTTTCCGTTCTTCAAGTGAAAAACTCTTCCAATATTCGTTTGATTGTGTTGCATGTTTTTGCTGTATTTGTTGTGTATGCTTTTAATGCTTTTCAACTTTGCTAAGACGAAATACAATAGTTCCGTCAATGCCATATTAATATTAATTACAATAACAAGTAAGCTTAGGAATTCGAAAACGAGAAAGTGAACAAGAGTAAACTAGATCTAAAGTAAAATTACTAAAGAAGCGCAAACAATTCCCCCATATGAAAGAAAGAACTAAGTGTACTGTACTGTAATGTGTAATGAATGGTATGCAACATACCCAAAAGCATAATATCATGATTTCAAATACGTAAAATACTAATACGATAATAACTACAAACAGAAAACAGAACAAAAGAGATGTCCTTTTGCCAGTGACTAAGATGTAAAAAAAAAAAAAAAAAAATAAATAAAAAATACAAAAAATACAAAAAAAAACTGAAAATTTATTGTAGGTGTGTGAAAGGCGTTGAGTGATGAACGCTAAATAATTAAACTACAAATAATTCTGAAATACGTATTAGCTTAAGGTTGCAACAACAACAACAACATCTACTACAAAATAATTGCAGTTTAACTAATGAATCTAAAATACAACAAAATTAAAAAAAAAAAGAAAATAAGAAACGAAAAGAAAACACTGAATAGGCCAAGTGAGAGATGCAGAATCCAATATACGTAGAGTTTTAACTTCCCAAAATTAAATTTACGTAGCGTAAACAATAAGAGAATAATAAACAAGTTGATTAAATGTAATGCAAGTTAAAAGTAATCGAAAAGTATATATATTTATTTATCATACTTGATGTGAAGAAAATCTTACACACACGCATATTTACAAATACAAAATAAAGCAAAGTAAATTAACGACGAAAATATATTACAAATATTACCTTATATATACTTATACATATATATAGCCATATATATGCATCATATATATATACAAGATGTATATGCATATACATACATATATATATGATGTATATATTCATACGTATGTAGTATTGCATTCACATTTTGCACACTCGTCTATCTTCACTCGAATTTCATTTCACTTTATAGTTTCTTTCTTCTTGGCCTTCGTAGCAACGCCCCCGCCCCCTTAATTGGTTCAAGTGATATTATTATACTATTTCATAGACATGTTAATTTCTTATTGAATTTTGTTATGCACTGCGACAACTCTCAACTCTCGCATTCTGGATGAATGGAGATCTTTTGGGTTCGATTGACCTTGTTTGCCACGTACTTTTTGTTTTGAAATAATTTCGGAAGATTTCGATAAAAGTCTACATTGTAATTGTTTAGTTAAATGGCCTAGAAAATGTTGCGCATTTTGTTTAACACACGCTATTGCATATATATATTTTTGTTTGAATTTGAATTTTAATGCTAAGATATATTTCTGTTAGTTCTAGCTTAAGTTTAGTTGTGACAAATTGTGTATTATATGATTTTATGCGATTTCAAATGAATACGAAAATAATTAAAAACAAAACCTTGGAAAACTTGTTTCACTTATTTCGCACGTATCTGACAATTAACAACAACAATAACAAAAGCCCATCCAAGACATTGACACCGACCTGTCAGAGTCACAAAATTTTACAAGAATCAATTAGTCTAACAAAAACACTAAGAACTTATATACGTAGAAACAACAACAAACGTAGTTATAAACAACTAAATAAGCTAAACAAAAAAACACACAAAAATATTAATTAAATAAACAAAATTTACTCACTCAGCGAGAAGTTGAAGTCGACATCGGTAAAAAATGTCGACACCCCCGACATATACGTAATTGAATGATATTCAAACCTAATGAAGGACTTACAAATATGTATTACAGAGGAATATTATTAAACAACAACAACAACAGCAAGATATATAGCACCTCTTGTAAATAAAAGGCAGTGCAATGCATATGTTTTAAGAGACGATCGCATTTGAATGGGCTTTTGCTCGCTTTAAAGAGTTTAGTCATTCGAAGTACGCAAGCATCATACATTTATGAGAGTTTATGAACTATTCAAAGCAAAGCATAAACGACGCTGTATGACAAATCTAGTCTTAAGTAAACAACAATGAAAATTACCAAAAATAAATAACAAATAAAACCTATATAAAAACAGTCTGTTATTCGGCAACATCTCTACTTCATCATCATCATCATCAAATTCCTAGTTACAAAGGTCTGTATAATACTCGAAATTGAAATCGACACATAGACTGTAAGGGGTTTATAGAGTTGCACTTTATGTTGTTAAACAAGCAAGAAAGCTCTAGTCGAGACTGCTCGACAACGAGACTTTGGATATTCCGAGGAACTCATAATTCAATAATTCTGTGCTTCTTTTTAGCTTACACAAGAACCACCTGCACATTTAGAGATTCTATCTCTAAAAATGTAGGAAATTTAATTTTCTAACCAATTTTTATAAGGTTTTCAATCGATAACATAACGGGAATAGCTGTTGATTTCTGGAAACAAACTTAAAATGTGCTTGGTACATATATACGGACTGCTCATCTGAAAACGAATTGGGTTTGCCACGCCTCCTTCTGCCTGTTACATGCATATGAAAAAAATCATTACACTCTGATTTCCCATTTCCATAAGACTTATTTGTTAATTTAGGAAAAATCTCTAATTTTGGAGATGTTACTCAAAATATATATTTGAAAATCAGAGAATCATATCGTAATATGATTAGAATCGATAATATTAAAACGGTAATACTTATCGATATACAACAAAAAGTTGAGAGAGATTGGCGTCTTCCACAGATTCATTGAGATGAACAGAACCAAATTGAATGATGACAACCTAATCAAGAATATATATATGTATGTATGGGGTCTCCCAAGGTTCCTTCTTCATGTTAATCATATTTTAACAAACATCATTAAATTTGTATTTTGAGTCAGATAAGGATTTAGTAGCTACTTAACGTAACGCCTCTATGGTAGGATCGACTGGACTTATGCAGTCGACGAAATTTAAAATTGAGCCCGCAATTAACTTGTTTACCAAGTCACTTGATGAGCAAGTAAATGGTGTATTTTAGATGTTTTGTACAAAATACCAATCATTATGTTATACTCGACATCACGCTGTAATTAGCAGTTCGTCAACTTCTGGAGAACTCGACACCCAGATTAACAAATGACAGCCATTGATTACATAGTTTGGAAATCCCATATTGCCGCTAGGCAGTGGACTCTAGCTCCTTAATGGCTAATTTATGTTTCACGTTGCGCACAAATTGCAATTCCCATCGCCCCATTTGGATGCTGCGAATATTAATTAAGGCGTGGCGTATTGCGGCAATTGATTTGGCTGCTGCCTGTGCGAAAATAGGGAAAGAAAGAAACCCGGAACGAGGTATGCAACGAGGACTCCATACGGCGTATATTTATGTATATGATTTGGCTTATGCTATCCAATTTGCCACGTTTACCACGTACGAGATAAATTTTGCAAAACGTCTTTAATTAAATTTAATTAATGCGGCAACAACTCAACGGATTATGATAATAAGACTTCATATAACGAGGCCATTTACGGCAAACAGCCGCAGATGTGTGTGTGTGTGTGTGTGTGTGTGTGTGTGTGTGTGTGTGTGTGTGTGCGAGTGCCCTGAAAGGACCAAAGTTGTAGCTCGGCAATGACTAAGAGAGAAAGAGAGAGAGAGCGGGGGGGGTAAAGATGCCAGACGTTGTCCCGCGTGTAGCAACGACAGCGTAATGGCTGCGTCAACGAGCTGCGTCTTTGGCGCAAACGAAACGGAAACGGAAACACAAGCACGCATAATGGCTCATGTATGCAATAAAAGAAAGTTTCGAAAATACCAAAATGGCGTTTCAAAGATTGCCCCATTGATGATGAGTGGAGTGGAGGCGGCGGAGCGCTGCTCTCCTTGGCTGGGCGCGAATGTCGGCATGCCAGGCACGTAGCTCGGCATAAGTTCACATTTGGATGCTGTTATTAGAAAAGTTTCGGCGCTAAACTGGCCCCAAAGACGATCATCGATGCGATAAGGCACCATTCCGAGCATAATATTCCACTACATATGAGTGCAGAAACAAAGCACGAGGACTGCTATTAAAGCGGATGTACATATACTATATGCATGGCAGGCTCCAGCAGATGTGAATATCTGAAAATTATTTCTGATTACCTATTTGGAATTTGGCTGCACCTACGGCAATGGTTTCGAACCAAATTGACCAATCGAATGCAAAACACACTCTATAAACTGAAAATCGAAACTTATCCAGCTGACATGCTTATAAGATATACGGATTTACTATGGGATACTAAGCAAAGTTTAAGATGAAAACTTATCGGCTAGTTGAATCATCTGATTTACTGTAGTGGGGCTGTCATCTTTGATGAAAACTTGTGCTATGAATATTTACAACTTCCGAGGTCATAATGCTGAAAATGTGTATTTCGCAAACGATAAAACAAATCAGTCGTAAAATAACCATAATCGAATAGATAGTGTCCCACTAGGAGATACTCTTAACCACGGCCAACACGTGAGTATGCAAGCATCCTGCCTGGCTTGCATCTATAGATACTTTCAGCTCTTCACATATCATAAAAATGAATTGTACTTGAGAAATTAAAATCGCCTGTCAAGTCTCTTGACTCCATAAATTCCAAGGTCGATGTCCGCATATGTATGGACTGGCAGAATAAACGACCGTATAGACAGCCGGACAGAGTCATAGAGACTCTGTTGCTGCTCCTGCTGAAGGATATAGACGCATTATGGGCTCAACCAGGCTTCGTCCTGTTGAGCAAATTTCAAGAAATATATACTCTTACATATGTATGTATATATACATCCCATATACCAACCCAACCACATCAGTGCATCATAATTTATCGTATTTGAATTCGTTCCCGAATTACAATATTTTGACATCGGTTACAAAGCCGCGAAAGCCGAACGTTGATCCTACTTTAAATTCAGGTATGCTTTAGACGCCGGGACGTTGCTGCGGCATATGCCCGGCCTAATTACAGCGTGCCACAGATGTTCGCTTTGCCGCGATGCACCCTTCCCCTCTCCGTTCCGCCGGGGAGTGGCAACAGCAGTGCGAAATGGCCGCGGCGCTCTGCGTTCGGCGTTCGACGCTTGGCGCTCGGCGCTCGGCGAAATGTAATACTTGGCAATTACAGAGCGCGTTTCGTTTAATTGAAACATTATTTTGCATAAATAAAACCGGGCATAAAACACCCTGTTCCAATGGCGCCCCTACCCTGATTCTCAGTCGACGCCCTCAACGTGGCCACCATTAACGCACAAAGGGTGTTTTAAAAATGCAAACAAACACGCCCCATGCCATGGCTGTGCCTTTTCCCTGCCTCTTTCTCTCTTTCTATCTCTATTTCTATCTCTCTCTCTTTGTCGGCCCTCCATTTCCTCGTCTCTTGTTTCCCTGCTCAATTCCATGTGCAATATTTGCAAAAAAAGAGCATGTATGTACATTATAGTCGGGTGCAAACGACTGCCCAATACACGCTAATAATCCCTAAGTACCTAGGACAATGTAATTTATGTGGGTAATTCTGTAACAACTTAACTTAGTACTCCCATTAACGGTAGTTGATAAGTCAATGACAAAAGTTTAT